CCCTCGGTGTTGCTCCCGCGCCTCGCTCAGCCAGTGAGCGGGAACCGGTCTGTATGTGGGATCTGAACCCTCGGCGGGAGCGCCGCCACACTTCCCAAGCGGCGCACTATAGCAGTGCGCCACCGGGCCGGCCCCGAGAATATTTAAAGTTTTATGACTAAAAAAGATTGTGACTTGCTTGGTCATTTCACCAGTTATACAAATCAGAATAAATTCAGAGGATCAGAAGAGATATTCCATGAGAAGGACTTTGTTGAATGTACTGGAGAAGAGAGGACTGGGGAGCGGTAAAGGTGGAGCAAAGCAAGATAGGGAGATAGGGGAGATGGTTGCCTTTGGACATCCAGAGGGCCTTCAACTGGGACATAAATTAGACTTGGATGACTCATGCCAAGAGGTAGATTAAGATGACAGGGCAAAAGGTAGAGGGAGACTCATTTTGGTTTAGTGTAGAAAATATAGGGAAAAGCTATATAAAGGCCCAAGGAAGGAAAGGACTACCTTAGTTGATACTGAGCTGCTTATTCCTGGAAGTGTTTAAAGTGAGACCAGATGGTCATTTGGCTATTATTCAAGAAACAGATGACAGGCGGACTGGATCCACACCTGAGTGCCTGTCAGTCACCTGAGAACCTCTAGAAAATAGATTTCAGGGCCGTATCCCAGAATTAATAACTTAGAGTCTCCTGGAGTGGGACCTAGGGGGTGGTCTGTGTCTTGAAAAACGTCCCCAGGTAATTCCAGCATGGCCATTGCATGAACCCATGTCTGGGAATCACCAGGTGATCTTTGTGAAAGTCTCTTTCAACTCTGAGTGTGATTTTGTGGCAGAGCCAAAACTAGAACCCAGGTCTCTGACTCGATGCACTCTCTGTTGCACTCTCTCATTTTCTTGGGCCATGGCACATTCTTAAAGGGCATCTGAGGCTGGAGCAGCAGAGCAGAGGCACAGGCAGCAGGATGGAGGATGCACGAATGTGCAGCTGCAGACTGCAGCTGACTTGCCTGCATCTCATGACTCTGGTTGTCTCTTGTTAGGGGATCCTGCCCCCACATGTTGGAGTGTTTGATGCACGAATGTGCAGCTGCAGACTGCAGCTGACTTGCCTGCATCTCATGACTCTGGTTGTATCTTGTTAGGGGATCCTGCCCCCACATGTTGGAGTGTTCGCTGCTGTGCTTTCTTAAAACCAACACCCCTGTAAATAAGCAGACAGACATAATTGTAGACTGACTTGCTGAAACTGCAGCTTAGCCAGTTTAGCTGTTCCAGTTCTGTGAAAGCCTTTCTTTTATAGGAAGTGAATGAGTCAGATGGGTTTGACTGTGAAACCCATTATGAGGAAATACTTAAGTGTGCAACATAATGATGTTGGAACCAAGAAAGGAAATAGTTATGGGTTCTCAGCTCTTAGACACCACTGGGAAAGTTTGTTGCTCTGCGAGGAGGAGGAGGAGATTGGCTCCTATATGTCCTTCAATCTCATAACCTGGAGGTAATCTGATTGCTAAATGTTTGAGTTCCTATTATGTGCAAGGCATGGAGGGTAAAGTGTGAATGAGATGGGATGTCTCCTTTTGTGGAGCTCACAGAGGTGTGTGAGAGAAATGCATAAATTGATATGATGAATATCATAGGTAGGTTCTACAGGAGCACTTAGCTGGATGTGACTGTTTGCTGGAAGAGTGAGGGGAAATGATGTTTCCTTTGTTGTTAAGGACTGAGTATAAGTTTGTCAGATAGAGAAAGGAAACTTCCAGAGAGGTAATAGCATGTGCAAAGTCATGGAGGTATAAAATGTGTAAAGACAGTTAAGAAGAGAAAAAATTCAGAGTGATTATGATTTTGGGTTTATAGTGAGAGATGAAACTGGAGAGACGGTTTCCTGGCAAATCAAGTTAAATGCCTCTTGGTAGTAGGGATCCAAGAGTTAGAGAACTGTTAGAGTGACTGGGTCTTTGCCCACACTGGCACTGGTCTGGAGGTTGTTTGATTTGGACTTAGCGGCTACTGAAGAGAGAGACCAATTGTAATTATCTAGGCAAGAGATGTTGAGAGCCTGAAGTTAGGCAGTAGTGGTGGGGATAGAAAGGAGGGGACGATTTCAATAAATATTTAATAGAGAAAATGTGTGGACATCTATTTGAGCTGTTTGACAATTGGAGAAGATCAGACAGATCACTACAATTTGCAAGAGAATAATGGAAGAGATGTGTGCAAGGAAGCTGACTGTCTAAGAATACCTAGGTCTCCTATTAACTTGAACGTCCCCTCTTTACACAGGTTAGAAGTCCAAGCCGATGTCCAAAAGGAAATTTTCCCCAAAGACACAGCCAGTCTTGGTGCAATTAGTGACAACGCAAGCACTCGTGCTATGGCCGGTTCCATAATCAGTTCCTACAACCCACAGGACAGGTATGTGAACAGTCAGATGCCCAGGAGAGGTTGCAATTTTTGGTTGGGTACTAGGTGTTCAGAAGCTCAACGCTTCATGTTAGAACTCTATGTATTATCTAGTAGGATATGTAGTGTGCCCTATGAATTCATGGAGTGTTTGGCATTTCTTGATCCTTCTTATTAACATTTGATTTTTAGAGATTTCTTTTCTTCCTTTTCTTTTTCGGTCCTTCCTTTTTTTTTCTTAATTTCTTTTCTTTTTTTTTTTTTTTTTTTTTTTTGTCTTTTTTCGTGACCGGCAATGGA